TCCATTGTATCACAAGAGAGTTTGAACCAATGCAAATTCTTTTCAAGATAAAGCAGCTGAATGAAGCCTGGGTAGCTCAGTCGGTAGAGCATCAGACTTTTAATCTGAGGGTCCAGGGTTCAAGTCCCTGTTCAGGCGGGACTCCGTTCTTTAGGTAGTTGTTCACAAAATAAACAGTGTAGTAGAGTTTAAAGTGGACATTACGTGCTGATGCATCATGTAGAAATGTAGACTCTTTTGTGAACCCTTTCCTTGAAGAATTCCACTAGCCCCTGTGGCAAATGCACATTGCTCACCACCAGCAAGTTGACAAGTCTGCAGTTCAATTTGGGAGTCCTTGTGAGAGTGGTTGGCTGGTCTTCCATTGTTTCACAAGAGGTTTTGAACCAATGCAATTTTTTTTCAAGATAAAACAGCAGATTGAAGCCTGGGTAGCTCAGTTGGTAGAGCATCAGACTTTTAATCTGAGGGTCCAGGGTTCAAGTCCCTGTTCAGGCGGGCCGCTCTCCTTTCGGTAGTTGTTCACAAGATAACATTGTAGTAGAGTTTAAAGTGGACATTACATGCTGATGGATCATATAGAAATGTAGACTCTCTTGTGAACCCTTTCCTTGAAGAGTTCCACTGGTCCCTGTGGCAGATGCACGTTGCTCACCACCAGCAAGTTGACAAGTCTGCAATTCAATTTGGGAATCCTTGTGAGAGTGGTTGGCTGCTCTTCCATTGTTTCACAAGGGTTTTGAACCAACGCACATTTTTTTCAAGATAAAGCAGCTGAGGGAAGCCTGGGTAGCTCAGTCGGTAGAGCATCAGACTTTTAATCTGAGGGTCCAGGGTTCAAGTCCCTGTTCAGGTGGGCCACTCTCCTTTAGGTAGTTGTTCACAAGATAAACAGTGTAGTAGAGTTTAAAGTGGACATTACATGCTGATGGATCATATAGAAATGTAGACTCTCTTGTGAACCCTTTCCTTGAAGAGTTCCACTGGTCCCTGTGGCAGATGCACGTTGCTCACCACCAGCAAGTTGACAAATCTGCAATTCAATTTGGGAATCCTTGTGAGAGTGGTTGGCTGCTCTTCCATTGTTTCACAAGGGTTTTGAACCCAGGCAAATTTTTTTCAAGATAAAGCAGCTGAGTGAAGCCTGGGTAGCTCAGTCGGTAGAGCATCAGACTTTTAATCTGAGGGTCCAGGGTTCAAGTCCCTGTTCAGGCGGGGGAACGTCCTTTAGGTAGTTGTTCACAAGATAAACACTGTAGTAGAGTTTAAAGTGGGCATTACGTGCTAATGGATCATGTAGAAATGTGGACACTCTTGTCAATCCAGTCCTTGAACAGTTCCATTAACCCCCTGCAGCAGATGCAGATTGCTCACTACCAACAAGTTGACAAGTCTGCAATTCAATTTGGGAATCCTTGTGAGAATGGTTGGCTGCTCTTCCATTGTATCACAAGAGAGTTTGAACCAATGCAAATTCTTTTCAAGATAAAGCAGCTGAATGAAGCCTGGGTAGCTCAGTCAGTAGAGCATCAGACTTTTAATCTGAGGGTCCAGGGTTCAAGTCCCTGTTCAGGCGGGCCACTGTCCTTTAGGTAGTTGTTCACTAGATAAACACTGTAGTAGAGTTTAAAGTGGGCATTACGTGCTGATGGATCATGTAGAAATGTCGACTCTCTTGTCAACACTCTCCTTGAAGAATTCCACTGGTCCCTGTGGCAGATGCACGTTGCTCACCAACAGCAAGCTGACAAGTCTGCAATTCAATTAAGGAATCCTTGTGAGAGTGAGTGGCTGCTCTTCTATTATTTCACAAGAGTCTTTGAACCCAAGCAGATTTTCTTCCAACAACAATGACCTCTTCGAAGAATTTCAATCCGGATTCCGCTCACAACACAGTACTGAAACCACCCTCCTCAAAATTACAAATAACCTCCTCCTCTCCTCAGACTCTGGACTAATCTCCATCCTCATCCCCCTGGACCTCACCACTGCCTTTGACACTATCAACCATTCCATCCTACTCTCCCGGGTGAACTCCCTCCTCAACATCACTGACGCTACCCTCACCTGGTAACACTCATATCTCTCTGGCAGACAACAATTCATCTCCATCAACAACTGCTCCTCCTCAACTGCCCCCCTGTCCCAAGGTGTCCCACAGGGTTCTGTGCTTGGTCCTCTCCTCTTCATCCTGTATCTCCTCCCCCTTGGTCAAATCATCCATCACCATAATCTTCGTTTCCACTGCTATGCTGATGACATCCAGTTATACATCTCCACCAAATCCATCACCCCCTCAACTCATTCCACCTTGTCGAACTGTCTCACCGACATCAAATCCTGGATGCAAACAAAGTTCCTCAAACTCAACTATGACAAATCAGACATGATTTTAATTGGTCCAAATTCCCTCACCCAAACAGCCAGAGACTTCCACCTCACCATTGACAACTCCACACTGTCACCCCCCCCCCCCCCCCCCCCCCCCCCCCTGCCACAATCTTGGTGTCATCTTCAACAGTAATCTCTCCTTTGACCAACACATCAAACACATCACTAAATCAGCCTTCCATCACCTAAAGAACATCTCTCGCCTCCACCCCTCGCTCTCTTTCTCTGCCGCTGAAACTCTAATCCACGCCTTCATTACATCCCGCCTTGATTACGGCAACAGCATCCTATATGGTACAACCGCCAAACTCCTCAATAAACTCCAGTATATCCAAAACTCTGCTGCTCGCGTCCTCCCTCACACCCGCTCCCGTGACCACATCACTCCTGTCCTCCAGAACCTCCACTGGCTCCCTATTACACAACAAATTGAATTTAAAATCCTCCTCCTCACCCATTAAATTGAAGTTCAGGCAGGCCACTGTCCTTTAGGTAGTTGTTCACAAGATAAACACTGCAGTAGAGTTTAAAGTGGACATTACGTGCTGATGGATCATGTAGAAATGTCGACTCTCTTGTGAACACTTTCCTCGAAGAGTTCCACTAGTCCCTGTGGCAGATGCACGTTGCTCACCACCAGCAAGTTGGCAAGTCTGCAATTCAATTACAGAATCCTTGTGAGACTGGTTGGCTGCTCTTCCATTGTTTCACAAGGATTTTTGAACCCAGGCGAATTTTCATCAAGATAAAATGGCTGAATGAAGCCTGCATAGCTCAGTCAGTGGAACATCAGACTTTTATTCTTAGGGTTCAGGGTTCAAGTCCCTGTTCAGGCGGAGCCCTGTTCTTTAGGTAGTTGTTCACATGATAAACAATGTAGTAGAGTTTAAAGGGGACATATTATGCAAAACTCACTTTTTCTTTGTTTTAGTACATATATTTGCGCATCCAGAGTGCCTCCCCACCCCTTAAGTGCAATTTTCGACACTTACGTCAATGTTTTGTAATCTGCCGGAGTACGGAAGAGTGTCTCTGAACGAGCCAGTTGGATTTCACCCGCATCTCTACGTAACATAGCGGGTGATTTGAATAACCCCACCCTCGCGCTGGGTATCTCCTCCCATACCAACTCAGCTACCTGATCGAGAATCCGCCATTTTCTCCTTCGCTTCACTTGGACGCGACAGCCCGACCGACCGCTAACATGTACAACGTGAAGGCCAAGCACTCCTGTTCTGGTGTCGGATGCACGGATCCTCATGTATCCCTACATCGCCTGCCTACCAAAGAGGATATAAAAGCACAGTGGCTACATTTTATTTATCGGGGCAACGTTCCTGCTAAACTGAGCATAAATAAATACGGGGTTACGCTTTTCTCTAGTAAGGGCAATTGCTTAATTGCATCCGCGTTACTGCAACTGAACACCAGTAAACACCGGCCGAGGTTTTGCTAAGCTACATAATGTAAACACTCGAGCCAGGAGAAGGGGGTTGAGGACTGTAACAACACGGGGGAGACGGCCAGTAAACCCGTAAAACTTTCGTCTAAGCAGTAACATAAAAGTAATGTCGAAGTAACAAACGTAACTACTAACCACTCAGAAACATCCACATTCAGTCTTGGCTGCTGACTTCCCTCTGCAGCCTCTTCTTGCTCCGGGTCGGACTCCGGCTCGAACATATAAGGTTGCACTGGAGTTTGTTGTCCAGCAGCCATGTCGCTCCAAAACCCGTTGCTATAGTCACGCGTTGGCGTCCTCACGTCTTCTGCCTGGCAGGAAGAGGTGGGTGGGGCAAAGACCGTCTTTGGGCGGCGCACGCAGTAGCTCATTAGCATTTAAAGGGAAAGGCACTAAAACAGGCCGTTTTGAGCAGGGCTGTGAAACTGGTGTGTAAAGAACCCGGCTGTGCTCAATCCTTCGGTTTTTTCGACCAAAGCATGTTACTGACATTCCATTTAGACATCAAGGAACCATGTGAAACAGGCAGAAATGAGCATAATATGTCCCCTTTAAAGTGGAAATCACGTGCTGATGCATTATGTAGAAATGTAGACTCTTTTGTGAATCCACTCCTTGAAGAGTTCCACTAGTCCCTTTGGCAGATGCACGTTGTTCACCACCAGCAAGTTGACAAGTCTGCCACTCAACTAGGGAATCCTTGTGAGAGTGGGTGGCTGCTCTTCGATTGTTTCACAAGAGTTTTTGAACCCAGGCAAATTTTTTTCAAGATAAAACAGCTGATTGAAGCCTGGGTAGCTCAGTCGGTAGAGCATCAGACTTTTAATCTGAGGGTCCAGGGTTCAAGTCCCTGTTCAGGCGAGGGAATGTCCTTTAGGTAGTTGTTCACAAGATAAACACTGTAGTAGAGTTTAAAGTGGACATTACGTGCTGATGCATCATGTAGAAATGTAGACCCTCTTGGGAACACTTTCCTTGAAGACTTCCACTAGTCCCTGTGCAAATGCACGTTGCTCACCACCAGCAAGTTGGCAAGTCTGCAATTCAATTACAGAATCCTTGTGAGACTGGTTGGCTGCTCTTCCATTGTTTCACAAGGATTTTTGAACCCAGGCGAATTTTCATCAAGATAAAATGGCTGAATGAAGCCTGCATAGCTCAGTCAGTGGAACATCAGACTTTTATTCTTAGGGTTCAGGGTTCAAGTCCCTGTTCAGGCGGAGCCCTGTTCTTTAGGTAGTTGTTCACATGATAAACAATGTAGTAGAGTTTAAAGTGGAAATCACGTGCTGATGCATTATGTAGAAATGTAGACTCTTTTGTGAATCCACTCCTTGAAGAGTTCCACTAGTCCCTTTGGCAGATGCACGTTGTTCACCACCAGCAAGTTGACAAGTCTGCCACTCAACTAGGGAATCCTTGTGAGAGTGGGTGGCTGCTCTTCGATTGTTTCACAAGAGTTTTTGAACCCAGGCAAATTTTTTTCAAGATAAAACAGCTGATTGAAGCCTGGATAGCTCAGTCGGTAGAGCATCAGACTTTTAATCTGAGGGTCCAGGGTTCAAGTCCCTGTTCAGGCGGGCCACTGTCCTTTAGGTAGTTGTTCACAAGATAAACACTGTAGTAGAGTTTAAAGTGGACATTACGTGCTGATGCATCATGTAGAAATGTAGACTCTCTTGGGAACACTTTCCTTGAAGACTTCCACTAGTCCCTGTGCAAATGCACGTTGCTCACCACCAGCGAGTTGACAAGTCTGCAACTCAATTAGGGAATCCTTGTGAGAGTGGGTGGCTGCTCTTCCATTGTTTCACAAGAAAGTTTGAACCAACGCAAATTTTTTTCAAGATAGAACAGCTGGTTGAAGCCTGGGCAGCTGAGTCGGTAGAGCATCAGACTTTTAATCTGAGGGTCCAGGGTTCAAGTTCCTGTTCATGTGGAGCACTGTTCTTTAGGTAGTTGTTCACAAGATAAACACTGTAGTAGAGTTTAAACTGGACATTACGTGCTGATGCATCATGTGAAAATGTAGACTCTCTTGTGAACCCTTTCCTTGAAGAGTTCCACAACCCCCTGTGGCAGATGCACGTTGCTCACCACCAGCAAGTTGACAAGTCTGCAATTTAATTAGGGAATCCTGTGAGAGTGGTTGGCTGCCTCTTCCATTGTTTCACAGGAGTTTTTGAACCCAGGCAAATTTTTTTCAAGATAAAACAGCTGATTGAAGCCTGGGTAGCTCAGTCGGTAGAGCATCAGACTTTTAATCTGAGGGTCCAGGGTTCAAGTCCCTGTTCAGGTGGAGGAATGTCCTTTAGGTAGTTCTTCACATGATAAACAATGTAGTAGAGTTTAAAGTGGAAATCATGTGCTGATGCATCATGTAGAAATGTAGACCCTCTTGTGAACACTTTCCTTGAAGAGTTCCAGTAGTTCCTGTGGCAGATGCAGATTGCTCACCACCAGCAATTTGACAAGTCTGCAACTCAATTAGGGAATTCTTCTGAGAGTGGTTGGCTGCTCTTCCATTGTTTCACAAAGATTTTTGAACCCAAGCAGATTTTCTTCAACATAAAATAGCTAATTGAAGCCTGGGTAGCTCAGTCGGTAGAACATCAGACTTTTAATCTGAGCACTGTCCTTTAGGTAGTTGTTCACAAGATAAACACTGTAGTAGAGTTTAAAGTGGACATTATGTGCTGATGCATCATGTAGAAATGTAGACTCTTTTGTGAATCCAGTCCTTGAAGAGTTCCATTAACCCCCTGTGGCAGATGTCTGCAATTCAATTTGGGAATACTTGTGAGCAGTGGCGGCTGGTGCTAAAAAAATCTGGGGGGGCGCACTGGCGGGCGGGGATTACAACACAACAATAAACTACTTGAACATAAATTTTGCTCCCCTCTCCTTCAGGCCAGCAAATTTTTCAATGACTTTCTGATTGAAATCTGTCATTTTACAAACAAGTCTCTTTTCCATGGAGAGCATGGCCAGTGCATTCAGCCTCTCCTGGGTCATGGTGTTTCTGAGAAAGGTTTTCACTCTTTTCAAGGTTGAGAAGCACCTCTCCGCTTCAGCTGTGGTCATGGGTGTGGTGATCAGGATCTTTAAAAGAGTGACAGTTTCTGAAAAGACATCTTCAAGATTGTTTTCCATGAACAGCTGGAACAGGTCCACTGCACCACAACAGGCTCTGAACTCTATTTTGCTGTAGATGAGACCGAGTTCTGTCTTCAGTTTGCTTCCGTTCAGCATTGGGTAGGCCTTCAAGGTGCTTTGCAGTGTCTCTTCAGGAAATGACCCGTGATGTTCCTCAAACCTGTCCCCCTGCAACAAGGTTGCACAGACAAGATGGTCGGTGAAGGAGAAGCGCTCCCTGGTGTGTCCCAGAATGGTGTTGCAGATCTACAGAGAGAAGAATACAAAAATATATAGAGAAAAAATAGATGTCTCATAACAAAAACAAATTTTGCATTTGCTCCTCAGACAGTACATTGTTGGCTATATTTTGTTTACATATAGTTATGGCTCCCCTGGACCTATTTATTGCATATTTCAGCTTTTTGTATTGCTATTACTTATGTATTTGTGATAGTACTACTTTAAATAATTAGATTAATTGTGATTAGGTGACAGGCTACATCTCTGCAACATGACAATGACATATTTTAAATGGTATTTCAATACACATTTCTCCTCTAACAAACATTACAACCTCAAATGGAACATGGACTATGACAGATTTCTACAACATAAACTCACCTCTTCTGCAACATTTTTACGATCCTCTGAGCTGAGTACCCGACGCTTCTTTGCTGTCAGAGAACCACTGCTTTGCTCACCCATGGAATGTAGAGAATTTCTGTGAAGGACAATGAGAAGTCATAATAATAATCAAAAAGGGGAAAAGAGATAATGTTGAAAAATGTAATGATCATATTACTGATAGGAATACTTATTACCTGATGGTTTGTATGTCCTGTTCAAACTGCTGGATGCTCCCTTTGATGTGGACTGCATCTATGTTCTTCTTCTGGAGCTTGGCATAGAGGAGGTCCACATGTGGCATGATGTGGTAAAAAAGTTCCAGGAAGAACCTAAAATCCTGATGTTCCAGCAGCATGGCCATGCCTCCTGCCTCTCTGATGGTATTGGGGTCAAAGTCACCTAAGTCGCGTATGTTCTCAAAACACTGAATGAGATCCTGTCTGTGCTCAAACACAGTGTTGATGGCTCGGCTGTGAAAGTTCCATCTGACATTGCTAGATGTTGGCAGTCTATGGGCTACCATTTTATCAAGAACAGCTGTACGCTTGGGTGATCTGGAAAAAAAGCTGGCAAATCCACCCAGGTCAGAAAAAAAAAATCTCACCTTGGAAATATGAGAGGTGGCCTGTTGCATGATCAGGTTGAGTTGGTGTGCATAGCAGTGGATATAGTGGGCATTTGGGTACACATCTTTGATTTTCCTCTGAACACCTGTAGTGGCACCCCTCATCACACTGGCTCCATCATACGCCTGGCAGATTAGCTTGCTTTTCTGATCCTCAGGAATGATGGCAGCAAGACGCTCTTTTAATGCAGTGGCAATGGACTCAGAAGTAGCTGACTGCAGAGGAATGAACTCAAAAAATCTTTCCTGCACACTGTGTTTATCATCAATGTAGCGTAGTACAAGCACAAGTTGGGACTGTGTTGAAATATCTGTTGTCTCATCTGCCTGGATTGATACAAAAACACTCTTTTGAGCTTCTTTAATTATTTCCTCCCTTGCAACAGACAACATACAATCCAGGAGCTCATTTTGGACAGTTTTTGAAGTACCCTTAAAAACAGTGGCAGTCTCAAGGTGCTCTTTCAAAACTCCATCCAGAGAGGCAACAAAATCCACCAGCCCACGAAAGATCCCGGGGTTAACAGAGCTCTCACTCTCATCATGGCCACGTAAAGCCAATTCAAAGGCCCCACAAAATTTCACACAGTCTATTATCCTGGACAGTATGTGACGATTTTTTGTCACCTCTTCGTTGTGCCTTCTAATGCCAACTCTGTAGCCCTCATCTAATTGTTCAGCAATGCTAACTCGGCCAAAAAACTGTAGCTTCATGCTGTTGTCAAGGTGGCTATGGCTACTTTCATGCCGATTGCATTTTTCAGAGAGATGTTTCAGGTCTCTGACCCCCGTTGTTGTCCACAGAGCTTCAGTGCCAAAACTTTGAAAAAGCAAGCATGGAAAGCAATAGAGAGCATTGCTAACTCCACATCCAGCTAGCCAACTGTGTTTGGTGTAACACGAACGGGAGAAGCCTCTAGTGTAACTCCTTCCCCTGTCACTTGCCTGCTGTTTGATTTTATATCAGGCTGCTCCGGTCCAAGCTCCTTTATTCTTTTTTTTTCCTCCACCGAACGCCTTGTGAAAGGATTACTGCGTAACGAAACAACCGAATTTTCGTTTGCTGCCGCCATTGTCTCCTCCTGTCTTTGACCGCAAGGCACGGCTCCGCTGCCAGGGGTGTGAGTCGACTTTGATTGACAGATGTCATGAATCAATCAGATTGGTTGAAAAATGAACCCAAACGCGCTGATTGGCCAGGGGCGCAGAGAGCTGCGCCCGGAGGAGAATCTTTAAGTGACCAATTAGAGACCAGCATGAAGTCACATGGAAGCCAAAAGTTTAAGAGCATACATACACACTCATTTGGCCGGCGCCCGTCGCTATTGAAATGTATAAAACGACCAAGCATAAACCCAATATGGAATGGAAAGGTTTAAAATTTTAAAAGTAAAACCACTGTATGAGTGAACACTGAACAGACGTGGTAATTACTTTTTATTATGTAATTTATGTTTACTGTGTCTATACTTTTTTCCTGAAATTTTGATGGGGGCGGCGCCCTTGCGCCCCCTATTGACAGGCTGCCACTGCTTGTGAGAGTGGGTGGCTGCTCTTCTATTGTCTCACAAGAGATTTTGTACCTAGGCAATTTTTTTTCAAGATAAAAAGGTTGATTAAAGCCTGGGTAGCTCAGTTGGTACAGCCTCAGACTTTTAATCTGAGGGTCCAGGGTTCAAGTCCGTGTTCACATGGAGCCCTGTGCTTTAGGTAGTTGTTCACAAGATAAACAGTGTAGTAGAGTTGAAAGTGGACATTACGTGCTGATGCATCATGTGAAAATGTAGACTCTCTTGTGAACCCTTTCCTTGAAGAGTTCCACAACCCCCT